ATTTAGCTAAATTTCATATAGATGATAATGGTTATGATATGATGACTAAAATATTACCAAGAGGGAAATTTGAAGCTTGTTGTGATATCGTCGGTTTGACGATTTCCTTCACATAGTTATGAGGGGGAGATTTGTTGGGTTTGAGCTCTCTTCTTATGTGGAGAAAGACCCAAATATCATTAGCCCATTTATCTCACTTATTTAAGTGGAGATGATTAATTTAGAGTTGAGAGAGATAGTGAAAAAAATAAGGATTCAAAAGAGAGAAAAGAGGAGAGAAACTCATTCCCATTTTTATATAACTAGTCTCACTGAATCGAATATCTCAAATTCATTAACCGTTGGATCGAGCTCAAATTTGGTGGGTAGGTTTGTAACACATATATATAACTTTTGATCATTCAGAATTTCAATACAACGTCTGAGGTGAAAGTTATTTACTTTGTACTAAAGCTGCAAATTTGGAAAAATTTTCAGCTTTTGATTCTTATTTGTAAACTAGTTTGCTTTGTGATCTGCAGTTGTTAGAACTAGTTTGTGAATCACTTTAAGACTATCTTGTAACCTTAATTGATTATAGTGGATTTATTTCTTTGGTCGGGATGACTGTGGTTTTTACTCTCATTTTGAAGGGTTTTCCACGTTAAAATATCGATGTTCTTTTGTGTCTTTATTTATTCGATTTGTCGTCTTATACTTGTTTTTGATCCTTAAGATTCTTACAAGTTTGGGGGATTTTTATATCTGCTATGTATTGCTCTACTATTGAGTCTTAATTTCCCATCACTATGACATATGCAATGTTAGATCTAGCGCAATAAGTTGCATACATGAGGTCGTAAATGATGCTTGCAAATTCTCAGTGTCTTATATTTTTACTAGTATTCTTAAATAGTTTCACACCAGGATCATATGATATGCAAATAAGTTTGAAGTCAAATTAATTATATTTCTTTAGGATATATTCAACATAGCGAAATTGATCTAAGGAACTTCCCTTTTCTGATCTATTAATTTTAATACCAAGAATTACATTAACTTTTTCGAGATCTTTTATATCTAAGTTGTTAGACAACAATTATTTCACAATATTTAAAACATGAATCTTTGAACTAAATATGAATATGTTTTCTACATAGATATATATATGGTTGTGCAAATGTTATTATCGGACTTATAATAAATACATTTGTCACTTTCATTCACTTTGAACTTATTTGTTATCATTAGATATCAAATTTGTCATGAGGGATTGTTTAAGATCATAACAGTTTTATATATCATTTAGACCTTAGTTTCTTTCCCATGAATTACAAATTTTTTTGGGTTGTTCCATATAAATTTCTTCTTTGAGTTTACTATTTAGAAAAGCGTTTTTAAAAAATGCTACCACATACTGGTTCGTCGGAAAATCTTTAACTTCTAGGATATCCTTGAGCCTACCTTAGAAGCTCTAGGGTTATTGTATGATATATAATGGTTGTTCGACCAAATAGGGTGAAGATAAGTCTTGTCTCTTAAACATCCCACTTACATTAGAACTACTTTGTAGTTCCTCAGCTCTATTAAACTATAAATTGGTGTAAAATTGAGAGTTCATTATGATGTGTTAATTTTTACATTATTTAATGAAGAACATGCACTAAATAATTTTGAAATAGAAATGTTGTTCATATTTTTTGAGGGATGAGAGGAATGAGTACCTTGGGGATTACATAGATTGAATTATAGAGATTCCTGATACCTTATAACATGTGAGAGAATTCATGACCTATTTGAGGTGAAATTCTCACACATACATAATCCTTGATCGAATTATCATTAGAACAAGTGTGCATAACTCACACATGAAATTTCAGTATTATTAATTGAATTATCAATATGACACATTTAATAAGGCCTTGTGTCTCATATCCTTTTCATGAGAATTTAAGAATCAAGCCCTTGAACTCTATGAGGCGGCACCACTTCATCCTCATATAGGTAGGCTATATAAGAAATGCACCCATATTATGTATTTCAGCAAGCATATGCTATATGTCCATTAAGAGAAAAATCTTATTCTGCCACATTTATTTTTATGGTCTAAGTACTTTTACCCCTTGGGATGTATCTATTGTCAAGTACTTCAATCACTCTAATAATTTACGTTCATTATTGAAGTCAAGACTTAATGATAATCAAGTGTGAGTTGAGTTTTCACTATCGACGATTAATTAGATATGGACTTGTTCCACATTCCTAATGATTTCTTTATTGTCTTCAACGTTATATACAAAGACATCATATCTTTGTCAATCCTTTCGTCAAAGAATTGCAACATTTTTAAACTTTAACAAATTTTGAATATTCAATCTTTCAACTATTATAATTAACTTACGTATTCTTGATAGTATTCACTAACTATCATCAAACCATGACACTTTTAGCACATTAGTACAATTATCATATACAAAGTATATTTATATTCTTGATAGTTTTGGCAAACTATCACCATGACACTTTAGTCATTTATTTTGTCATATACACGATTTTTATGTTATTCTCCATTTACCAACCTTTTTATTTTGAAGTTTTACTTTCACTTAAATATATCTAAAATATATTTAATGCATTAACCATTTTGACAACCATGATCTTACAAATTTGTGATGGCTAACTTTTATTTCATACAGTGGGTTCAAACATTTGATTCGTAAACTCCATATAAAAATAACACCATAGAATTTATTTCTATTCTTTTTAAAATAAACAATTTTCTTCCATGACTAATATATTCATAACAAATTCTATGTATGATAAATCTATGTTTCATATATAACAATGTTTTATGGTATATCCAAATAAAAATCACAAAATGAACAATAAACCAACATCACTAAATCTATATTTCTTTTATGTTACTAATAAATTTACCATATATTCAAATTCATAATTTTATTTCTAATAATTATTACCAAATAATCTCATCTATAAATAATGCATTATTAATTAAAATAAATTACTTGCACCAAAGAAAAATATTTAACATACATTTTAATTCAAGTTTATAACATAAACCAAACATATTCATAATTATTTCATTTCACATATTTGAGTAGTTTATAATCATGCATGTATAAATTTAATATCACGTTAAATTTAACATAAATAAACATTATTTTCATCATATAATATTATACATGAATTTAAAACATTATATGAATATATATTAATGTAATCGAATTATTATGTATCTTTTACCATGGTTATGAATAAGAGAGCATGAATCCATTTCTCCATCAAAGTTGCAACCATTAATTGATCACAAAAAATCATAAATCAAACCTGAAGATGAAAATGTTATAATGAAAATTGCACAAAATAAATTTCAAAGTGTGTGTTTACACTAAGCTTTAGGTTCGATTCACCCCACCATTAATTTAAGAAAATTGGATGCAAATGGGTAATCCGGCTCATCCTCTTCAGGATACTTTGGAAATCTTAACATGAATTACAGAATAAAGTTCTCTCGTTTATTCTCGTGCACTAGAAAAATAAAAGAATGACTTAGATGTAATTTATGGCACTTGAAACAAGTAATTTTTGTGTATTTTATCTCTATTTATAGAAAAACTTGTATCAACCGGTGTAGAGAAACAATATTTCAATGGTTTCAACGTGACCATTCGCGAACAACAAACCTTTTTATGAAAAGTTGTGTTAATCGGGTGATTCCACCTTATGACCACCTCCCAAATCTTTATAGGGTCTCTGGTTCTATTCTAGATAATTGCAACTTTTTACCATTTATTTTGTTAACTTAACAAATAAATTAAAAAATTATTCAAATCAAGGATTCGAAACTATGACCATTTACTTTATAGCAAAAGCCACAACTACTATAACACTTAGCAATTTATGATTAAAAAGGTTCATAAAATCAATTTAATCATTATTATTGATCAATTTAATATTTTGGAAATTTCTCCAACAAAATTAAATTTCAAAGTTAGTTGTGATGGTTTTATAATGTTAATAAAGAACACACCACATGAGAATCTTGTGATGCCTAATTTAGCATTCACCTCTGTTTTAGATGGATCCAATTGGCTATGTAACTCAGACTTAACGTATCACCCTAATCCAAACACTGACGATGAGATGAATGAGTGAGAGCAAATGCCAATGCCTCGTCTTACTAGATGTTATGCGTCACCATATATAGATTAGAAATTCATGCATGATTTATTCAATATTCCTATCTCAGTTCTTATGAAAAAGAAACTTTATTTAAGAAGAGGTTTCGTAAAAATAGATGTGAGTTGATTAGATGAATACACAAACTCAATTACACATTTTTTTTTCTCCACATGATCCTAATAAAGTGGTGCCTAACCTCAATGAATTTAGTTCGAGAGTGAAGTGCTAGATTCAAAGAACCTCTCTTACAATCTTGTAACATAAACACAAAATCTCTAATAGACTTTGAATCTTTCCGTTTCAAAGGACCTTTTTCAACAAATAGAAATAACACCACTTCCTATTTGTAAACACCTATAAAAAGTATAGAAAGTACAACCAATTTCCTTCGGACAAAGTCACCACACATTTGATGAAAAAATTATAATAGATAGATAAATTGAATACATATAACTTTGTATTCTTTCTAATATCTTAAAAAGTGAATCCCCTCTTTCAATGAATAATTCAAGAATACATTAAGAGCTTTATAGTTTATGAAACTTTTTTTCAGATAAAAAGTTTCTATGTTACCCAGGTAAATCAATTGACCTATCTTCAACGATCAAAAATTTGAAGAAAATGATCTGAGTTAATTGATTGATTTGGAACTGTCAATTGATTGACCTATGCAAAAATGAAATGGAAAATCGATTAAAGCAAGAGGTAAATCGATTGCTGCCTTATGATTTTCAAACAACCAACCAAGAACAAAGCAGTTGTCTACATGTGCATAATTGCACTTCTTACAGAATATTGAAAACATCACAAAAACAAGATCACCACTGGGAGTGACCTGACAAGAGCTTCACAAACTCAACAACCACCGCGACAGAGTTCGTGGCGGCCAGCGACACGAACGTATCAGCCTCATTCGACTCCGCGGTGCCACCACCCGCCAAATCAGAGAGAGCCCTAATAGCAATAAATGGAATCCTTTGCTGCAAGCAAACAAGAGCAACCGATGCACTTTCCATATCCACCGGACTCACGTTAAACTTATCGTGAATAAATGTCCGGTACGCTGCATTATCTAAATAGAATCCTGAACTTGTTCCTCTCTCCACAAGCAGTACCTTTGGTGTTGTTGTCAAACACGTGTCTGAATCTATGCATGCTTCTAGCTTCATATCCTCGAGTTTTTTGGCGATAAGGTAGTAGTTGGAATCAACGGGAACCCATAGAGCATGCTGTCTTTCTTCAGGAATGCCATCAACTGGAAAAATCTCTTCAGGTTGATACCAGAGACTGTTGAGATGGTTATCAACTTTAGCACTGTCAGCAGCAGTTATGTTTGATGTGAAATCTGAAAACTTGATGAACCCTACATCTCTTGTGTAGTCTCCATTGTTTTCTAATGGTAACGTATCATTAGCCCCTTGTCCAAATCTCTGTATATATTAATATTAAAGTTAATAAATCACACCTACCAAATATACAATTCGTGCGTGATGTAAAATGAAACCACAAGGTTGATTAGAAAAACTATTTAGCATGAGAAAACAAAAAATACGCCTTCACTTATTTATTTTTTATAATAAAATGGGATAATAATTGAAGAGATAGTGTTTTTTTAAGTGGTGCGTGTGACTAGCCAATAATGGTAGAGAGCTTATAAAAAAATTAATAGTTATGTTTGACCTTTATATATCCTATCGAATTATAAAAAATAAAAAAAATTTATAAATTAATTTTTAAAATATTTTCATAAATATTTAATTACATAATTTATTTGAAATATCGTGTAAAATAGTTAGACACTATCATTACAAAATTGTTAATCTTTTGCTCTATTTTTAAAATAAATATCATTTAACATTGTTTCATATAAATTATAAAACATAACTATTTTATAAAATTATTCTCTTTTATTAATCGTATCATCAATAAGAATGCAAGTAAATTAGAAAATATCAATTAAATTGACAATTTAAACTAAATCAATAGTGTTTGACCTTCATACATCCAATTGAATAATAATAAAAACATTAATTTTTAAAATATTTCGACAAATATTTAAATTACATAATTTATTTGAAATATCGTGTATAATACACTATTTATTACGTATTTGTGAATCTTTTGCTCTATTTTAAAAATAAATATCATTTAACATTGTTTCATATAAATTATAAAAATAATTATTAATGAATAAAAAAACATTACTATTTTATAATATTATTCTCTTTTATTAATTAATGGTTATTATTATTAATAAGAGTGAATCAGAAATTTTTTATTAAACTGACAATTTAAATCAAATCAAATTTTAAAAGAAAAATTAACTTTTTATGGTTTGATTCAAAAATCAAACTAAACCGATAGAAATCAAAGTGATTCGACTTGATTTTCGATTTTAGTTTTTAAAAACCGTCAAATTGCTGAATCGGACGAATATAGCTAGACTTTTTGATATTTTAAATTCTCTTGATTAGTATTCATCTCTTTTTTATTACCTTCTTTGTTTCTTCTTTCCAACAAATTTTCTTCTAATATTTTTACAAATTTGTTTTGATGTTTGTTTTTATTTGTTAATAGTAAAAAATATTAAAAAATAATAATAATAAAGAATACACAAATTAATATAATATTTAACAAACAATCTAAATTGATCAATCAAACTAAACTAAACTATTCAATTGATTTAATTTCAATTTTAAAAAAATTAAAAGTAAACCAAAACAAACCGACAGATATATCATTATTTGGAACTTTTTTTTACCAAAAATGAGTCAAATTGAATCTATTACAACTTCAATTATCAATAGTCATAAATGTGAAAAGAATTTTTTAATTAAAATTTAATTATCATTGCACAATATTAATTAGAAAATAAAAATACAATGGATTAAATAATATTATATTTAATAAATAAAATATATTTATTTCAAAACAACTTCCTATATTAAAATAATATTTCTTTTGGAACCAATTATTAGTAGTAGTGTTTATAAGAAATCAATTTTACGAATATTATTTTACTTCACAATAAATTAGTCAATATATTACTACTCCAATCTTATTTATAAATAAAATTATCATTTAAATTTATTAAATAATTAATATCTGAACTGATTAAATATATTAATTATTTAATAAATTTAAAAAGTCAATTTTTTATATAAATACAATCACTGAGAGAGTATTAATTACTAATAATTTTTATCGATCCTGTATAAAGTGACAATCGGTTCATATTTCTCAATATATATATATATATATATATATATATATATATATATATATATATATATATATATATATATATATATATATATATATATATATATATATATATATATATATATATATATATATATATATATATATATATATATATATATATATATTATTTTCCAACATAATACCTGCCAACTCCAAAGTCCCAAATGTGCCCAATAATGAGGAATAGCAACATCTCCAATATGCAACGAAGGATTTGCATTTCCAGCAATACCATAATGAACAACTCCATCTATATTAAAAAAGCTTAACAGAAGCTGTGTAGTTATAGCTGCATTTATCTACATATCATATATTAATACAAAAATATTAGACTAATTAAATAATTAATTATATATAACCTTTAATTAACTCCAAAAATGAAACCTTACCACACTCAATCCAGTCATGACCAATACAACAGGTTTGTCACCAATGAATCCAAAACGAAATCTCCTTCCTTTATTAATAGCCATAAATAAAATATATCAGGCGAATCAAAAAGTATAAATTATTAATATTTTTTTCCATGCAAAGTTTTATGATTATTTATTTCTTGTTATTTATTTGTCTTTTTAAATGGAAATAGACGTATGCAGTTACTTACCTGCAAAATCTATGATGGTGTCAGTAGGAGTATAGCCTGAATTTTGAAGAAGAGGGTTAAGTTCAAAAGAATTTGGTATGACTAAACCCAAGTAAGGACCCTCTTGGTTGATTTTAGAGATTTTGCTTTGTAATTCAGAAGTTAAAACACAACTCACAAATGCATTTTGAACATTAAACAACATAAATATTGCAACAAACATGAACAAGACTGTTCTCCCATGAGTAACTGCCATTTTTATCACTAAACTTAGACAAACTCAAAGGAAGACAAGAACCGTGGGATTTGAGAACTCAAGAAGTTGGTTTTATAGAGAAAAAAAAAAGAAGAGTAGCCCACGAAGGAGAGAGAGGTAAAAGTTAAATCAATGATTCAATAAATTATACCAAGTCAGTAACCATTGGTTTGAATATTCACATCACCACATATATATATATATATATATATATATATATATATATATATATATATATATATATATATATATATATATATATATATATATATATATATATATATATATATATATATATATATATATATATATATATATATATATATATATATATATATATATATATATATCCAATAACGACTGATATTTAGTGTGATAAATGAGAACTAATAATATAAATCGTGAAATTTAGTTAACGATTTATTTATTTCATATAAAAAAACATTTTACTTTTTATTTATGTTTAATATTTTAAATTTTTTATAGAAAGAGAATCTTATTATAAATATTTTTCTGTTTGTTACACTAATATTTAGTATAAGTTAAAAATTAATATTATTCTATTTATTTTAATTGAAAATAAATAAATATATAATAAGATTTAAATTTTTAGTTTGCAAGTATTTAATATGAGTCACAATTATTATAATATTGTCGCAATAGAATTTATTTAAAATGATTACAATAATAAAATTTATAAAAAGAAAATTTCGAACATGCAAATAAATAAGTCCACTGAAGTAATAATTTCACATTCTTTAATATTTTTAATCAAATTAAAATATAGGTAAAAAAATGAATAACTTGTTGATATTTAAAATGGTCAAAATAATAGAATTTGCAAAAATAAAATATTTCCTAACTTCCAAGTAAATAAATCAACCATTAAAATACAGTAGTAATTTCAATTATTTACTATTTTTAATAAAATTAAAATATAGGAGATAAATCAATAATATATTTTTATTTAATTTTGAATAACCCTATGACATTGTCTTTAATTAATACTCTTTAGAATTCATATAATTTTATTCATTACATAATTATAAATATATTAATCGTTTTAATAGATCATTCTATTATTTTAAAGCATAAAACTATTATATTATAAATAAAATCAACTTTTTATTTTTCAATGTTTCACTATTGTAACCCGTTTAAATAAAAACACATTATTGACTTATTTATTATATTTTAATTTGATTAAAAATATTAAAAAATGTGAAATTATTATCTATATTTTAGTTTGCTTGACTTATTTGTTTCCAAGTTTGATTTTTTTTTCTTTCTAAATTCTACAATTGTGACAATATTATAATAAAACTGGCGCCTATTAGATATTGGCAAACTAAAAGTTTAAAAATTATTCTATATTTAATATTTTCAATTAAAAGAAATATAAAAATGTTACTATTTAATTTATACTAAACATTAGTAAACAAATAGAAAAATATTTATGGTAAGATTTTCTTATCATGAAATTTTTTAAATTTTGAACATAATAGAGAAAAATTCATTAAGGTGGTTTTTATATAGGATAAATAAATTTTATATAGGATAAATGAATTCTGAAGTAGCTCGCAGATAAACTAGTTAAGACTATTAAATTTAAATATTTTATTTATTTAAAGGATAAAATTGATGTTATTGATTTTTATTAATCGAATATAAATTAAGAGATGATGTTAAATATATTTTATTTTTATTTGAGTTATTTAAAGTTTAATTTGATTTGCATTTGAATGTCTTTTAGATGTTGATAGTATATAAGGCAAGTTTTAGTTGTAATAGAATTAAGTGAATTATTTATAATCATTTTTTAAATTAGAAAGTTAATTATATATTTCTTTCTTTTTTTTTTCTTTTCATTTTTATCATCTTCATCTTCTATCTTCTTCCGTTTTGTGCATTAACAATTATATATGTATGAAAACCTACGAGTTGCAGTATTTATCGGTGAAGTGTGATAAAATCACTATTGTTCTATGGTTAGAGTTTAAGAGTTTTTATTTTGTATTTATGAAAAATGAGTTGAACTTAAAAATCAATTTATAATTTTTCAACTTATAATTAAGAATTTTGTTTAGAATAACATATTTTTTCAAAAAAAAAACAAAAACAAAATTAACCATCTTTTCAAAAAATTTATCAAATTAACGTAGTTTGAATTTTGAAGGACACATAGACGCCAAATGAAATGACGCATCCCTTAAAAGTTGTTGCCATGCGCCATTTGAAATAGCTGATGCATGTCCACCAAGCCATATTGTTATAAATGTGCCTTAAAACCTTTGTTGATGAAGAGAAAGAAAACATATTTTGGAGATTGCAGTTACCGCGAAAATAAGACGAAATGTCGAGAAAAAAATCGGTCGGTGAATAGTATCATCCGTACGGTGAATAGTGGCGTTCGTACGGATGAATAATGCGTCCGTACGGGGAATAGTAGTGTCCGTACGGTGAATAGTATTTTCAAATTTTCGGACTTTTTCGATTCAGTTCATGGATCCATGTGATTTTGGGCTTTGTTTGTTGGGTATTTGCTATTATAAATATGTATCTCTTATATACTTGGTGTGTGACAATCTTAGAGTTTTCACCAATAAAGGAGACCAAGTGTTTAAAGGTATATCATAGGGTTTCAGCTATGCACAAAGAAAACCTTGGATTACACCTTGAGTTTAAGTGATTCATATATTGAGAGTTGGAGAGGTAGGGAAACACATGGGTAGAAAATGAGGTTGTCCTTGGGCACCTTCAGGGTTGTTCTTGGGAACCTGAAGGCGAAGGCTATTTTCTTTTAACTCATATGTAATCTCTTGTAACAACTTTCTGAGTATAGTGAGTTGGAGAGCTGCTCTTTCCCCTAGAGTAGATCATAGTAGATCGTTTGATCGAATTGAAGTGAAGATTGATGATGAGGACAAGACTTTGCTCTTATTAAGTTCATTACCCATATCCTTTGAGCATTTTAAGGATGCCCTTCTTTATAGTAAGGAAGATACTATTACTTTGGATAAAGTTCAGACGACGGTGAAATCCAAAGAATTTTCAAAGTTGAAATATTTGAAGATTAAAGATAGTAGTGAAGACTTAAATGTGTCAAGAGGAGGTGGTGAGCGTAAAGGGATGTCCAAATCAAAGAGGTCTGACAAGTCAAAGGTAAAATATTTTAATTGTCAAGAAAATCGGTCACTTTAAAAGGGATTGTCTTGAAATAAAGGTCAATAAAGATTCTATTCAAGTTCCAGTTGCATTGGGTGAGGAAAGTTACGAGGATGTCGAATCACTAGTAGTATCGAGTTTGGAAACTAAAGATAGTTGGTCATCAGGTTGCTCTTATCACACGTGTCCAAGAATAGAATACTTTGAAACTTTGAAGATGGTGTAACATGGAGTAGTTCGCCTTGGTAATAATAAGGCATGCAAGGTTCATGGTATTGGTACGGTCAGATTTAAAATGTTTAATGGTCGCGAACTTCTTATTCATAATGTGAGGTATGTTTCAGAACTCAAGCGAAATTTGTTATCTATAAGTATGTTTGATGATCTAGGCTATTGTACTAGAGTTGAACATGGAGTGTTGAAGATTTCGTGTGATGAATTTATTATTGCTAAAGGGTCTAAAATATGTGGTCTATATATTTTAAAAGGTTCAAATGTTATTATTTATTCATCGTTAACTAGTGGAGGCTTTCATGATAATGAAGAGCTATGAGATTTGAGTTTAAAGTGTTATGAATGCCTTGAGAAAGTTTCAGAGAAGTACAATGAATTTTGCAGAAATTAAGGGATAAAAATGCATGTTACCGTTGAGTTGTTATTGAGTGTTTGGGGAAGAGATGAGGTTAAAACAACTTACTTGGTTGGTAGAGAATTTCTTCAAAAGAAGAATAGTGAAAACCAAGGGAGAAACTATAACTGAGAAAACTCAGTTTGAGGTGGAGTTTCCTACTATGGATGCTAGCAGTAGTGAGGGAACAATTACAGAGATATCTGATTATCATTTGACTCATGATAAGGTAAGGATGCTTACTGTAGCATCTCAAAGGGACGGTTATGCTAGCCTTGAATATTATGTTTTTAATGTGGATGAAGAACTATAAAACAAAAGAAGAAAAACCTTCAGGGAGGTATTTGAAAACAGGTGGAGTCAAGGGTGGTTGAAAAGTCATACTTGTAGGCTTGTTAAATTACCTAGGAAGAAAAGGGTAATCGGGAACAAGTGGATTCAAGTTGCGAGATCAAGATTCAAGGGTTGCTTGAATTTGATCAAAGCTATTGATTAAAGTTTCAACTTGGTAGAGAGCAGCAGTGTTGTTGATTGTTAAATTGGTATTGTCGCTACTCGAAAAATGCATCACTCAACGACGGGGAGGCGAAAAAGATAGACAGAAGAGTCGCCACCGAACTTTATTTATCCCATGAGGGGAAAGGAAAATATCGAGAAAACCTTAAGAAAGAAATGGATAAGATGGTCTCGTGACCAAGAACGGGTTCGGAAGCCGGTTATGCGAGGGGAAGGTATTAGCACCCCTCGCATCCATCGTACTCGATGGGAACCATTTGTTTATCGACATGTGAATTTATTTGCTTAAACATTATGCTATAAGAAGTGTTCCACGGGGTAAAAGAAGGGTTAGAAACAAGAAAGTTAGGAGGAAAGAGAGAACGGGGAAGAAAAGAGAAAGAACAGACTCGGTAGGACTTCGCAGTCCTATGCCTACGTATTCTCAATAGATGTGAGAAAGTCAGAGTCGACGTAGTTCGGGGAACTACAGATATGGGGGGAATATGCTCGGCAAGGATTGTGGCCCTTGTGCCTACGTATCTTTACTTGAAAGAAGTAAAGAATCAGAGCAGTCGTAGTTCGGCCTACGGTTTGTTGATGTTTTGTGGATGATGCTATCGTGTGCATTCTAGCAGTTTAGGTGTTTTGCTGCTCGCATGTGAGGAGACTTATGCGTTACCTGTTTGCGATAGAACGGACGTAACATATC